ATTAAGACACTAAGACATCTCAGATGCCACCCCAGATTACTATACCAAGCAAAACTTTCAATCACCATAGATAAAGAAAACAAGATATCACATGACAAAATCAGATTTAAACAATAGCACCCACAAATGCAGCCCTACAGAAAGAACTGGAAGGAAAACGCCAACCCAAGGAAGTTAGCTGCACCCAAGAAAACACAGGCAATAGGTAATCCCACACCAGCAAATCCCAAAGAAGGGAAACACACACACATTACCACCAACAACAACAAAACAAAAAAATAACAGGAATTAACAATCACTGGTCATTAATGTCTGTTAATATCAATGGGCTCAATTCACCTATAAAATGACACAAGCTAACAGGATGGATATGAAAACAGGATCCATCCTTCTGATGCATGCAAGAAGCACACCTCAACTTCAAAGACAGACATTGCCATAGGGAAAAGGGTTGGGAAAATATTTTTCAATCAAAATGGACCTAAGAAACAAGCTGGTATAGCTATCCTAATATCTAACAAAATAGACTTCAAACTAAAATTATTTGAAACAAAAAGAGAAGGACATTTCATATTCATCACAGGAAAAATCAATCAAGATGAAGTCTCAATTCTGAGCATTTGTTCCTCAAATATAAGGCACCCATATTTGTAAAAGAGACATTTCCAAAGCTTAAATCACACATGAAACCCCACACACTAATAGTGGCAGACTTCACTACTGCACTCTCACCAATGGACATGTTTGCCCAACAGCAACTCAACATAGAAATAAGGAAACTAACAGATGTTATGACTCAAATAAACTTAACAGACATCTATACATTTCATCCAAACACAAAAGAATATACCTTCTCAGCACCTTATGTAACCTTCTCTAAAATTGACCACATACTTGGTCACAAAGCAAATCTCAACATATACAAAAATTGGAATAATCTTCTGTATCTTATTGCATCACCATAGCTTAAAGTTAAAATTCAGCAACAAAACAAATTACAGAAAGCCTACAAACTCAGGGAAATTGAACAATCCTCAAGTCAATCATCACTGGGTCAAGGAAGAAATAAAAAAGAAAGTAATGACTTCATAGAGTTCAGTGGAAATTAATGCACAACATACACAAACTTATGGGACACCATGAAAGCCTTGCTAAGAGGAAAGTTCATAGCTCTAAGTGCCTACATAAAGAATTTGGAAAAATCTCACACTAGCAAATTAACAGCACACAAGAAAGCTCTAGAACAAAAAGAAGCAAACTCATCAAGGAGGAGTAGATGACAGAAAATAATCAAACTGAGGGCTAAAATCAATAAAACAGAAACAAAAAAAATACAAATAATCAATGAAACAAAGAGTTGATTCTTTGAGAAGAAGAACAAAATACACACCCTTACCCAAAGTAACCAAAAGGCAGAGAGAGAATATCCAAAATCACAAAATCAAAAATGAAAAGGGAGACATAACAACTAACATTGAGGAAATCCAGAGAATCATTGGGTCATACTTCAAAAACCTGTACTTCACAAAATTGGAAAATCTAAAAGAAATGGACAATTTTCTGCATAGGTACCACATAACAAAATTAAATCAAAACCAGATAAATAATTTAAATAGACCTAATAATTTAAATAAACTTATTACCCTAAGGAAATAGAAACAGTCATTAAAATTCTACCAAGCAAAAAATGCCCAGGGCCAGATGGATTTAGCACAGAATTATACAAAAATTTTAAAGAAAATCTAATACAAATACTTCTCAAATTGTTTCACATAATAGAAACAGAAGGAAATTGCCAAACTCTTTTTATGAGGCAAGGTACCCTGATACTCAAACCACACAAAGCTGAAACTAAGAAAGAGAATCACAGACCAATCTTCCTCATGAACACTGATGCAAAAATACTCAATAAAATATTGGCAAACCAAATCCAAGAACACATCAAATAAATAATCCACCAAGATCAAGTAGGCTTCATCCCAGAAATGTATGGATGGTTCATCATACAAAAATCTGTCAATATAATCCATCATATAAACAAACTGAAAGAAAATAACCACATGATCATCTCATTAAATTCTGAAAAAGTCTTTGACAAAATCCAATAACCCTTTACAATAATGGTCTTGGAGAGATCAGGGATCAAAGCAATATACAGCAAGCTGATAGCCAACATCAAATTAAATAGAGAGAAACTCAAAGCAATTCCACTAAAATCAGGAACAAGACAAGAATGTCTACTCTCTCCATATCTTTTCAATATAATACTCAAAGTTCTAGTTAGAGCAATAAGACAACAAAAAGAGATCAAGTGAACACAAATTAGAAAAGAAGAAATCAGACATTCACTATTTGCAGATGATATGATAGTATATATATGTGACCCCAAAAATTCTACCAGGGAACTCCTACGGCTGATAAATACCTTCTGTAATATGGGAGGACACAAGATTAACTGAAAAAAAAATTAGTAGTCCACCTGCATACAAATAATAAATGGGCTGAGAAAGAAATCAGAGAAACAATGCCCTTTATAATAGCCACAGATAATGTAAAATATCTTGGGGTAACTCTGACAAGACAAGTGAAAGACCTGTATTATAAGAACTTTAAGTCTTTGAAGAAATAAATTGAAGAAGATATGAGAAAATGGAAAGATCTTCTATGCTCATGGATAGGTAGAATTAACACAGTAAAAATGGCAATCTTACCAAAAACAATCTACAGATTCAATGCAATCCCCAAAAAATCCCAACATAATTCTTCACAGACCTCAAAAGAGCAATACTCAACTTCATATGGAAAAAAAAATCAAGATAGCCAAAACAATCCTGTACAATAAAGGAACTTCTGTAGACATTACCATCCCTGACCTCAAACTCTACTATAGAACTATAGTAATAAAAACAGATTGGCATTGGCATAAAAACAGACATGAGGATCAATGGAATTGAATTGAAGAACCTGACATAAATCTACACACCTTTGAACACTTGATTTTTGACAAAGAATCCAAAATTGTACAATGGAAAAAAAAAGTATGTTCAACTAATGTTGCGGGCGTAACTGGATGTCGACATGTAGAAGAATGCAAACAGATCCGTATCTTTAACCATGCACAAAGCTCAAGTCCAAGTAGAACAAAGACCTCAACATAAATCCAGTTACACTGAAGCTGACAGAAGAGAAAGTAGGAAGTAGCTTGAGCACATTGGCACAGGAGACTGCTTCCTGAATGTAACACCAGTAGCATAGACACTGAGATCTACAATTAATAAATGGTATCCTAAAACGGAATAGCTTCTGTAAGTCAAAGGGACAAGGTCAATAAGACAAAACAGCAGGCCACAGAATGGGAAGAGAGCTTCACCAACTCCACATCTGCTAGAGGGCTGATCTCCAAAATACACAAAGAACTCAAGAAACTAGATGTCAAAATACCAAGTAATCCAATAAAAAAATGCAGTACAAACCTAAACAGAGAATATCAACAGAAGAATCTCAAATGGCAGGAAGAAATTTAAGGAGTTGCTTAACATCTTTAGTTATCAGGGAAATGCAAATCAAAATGACTATGAGATATGATCTTAAACCTATCAGAATAGTTAAGATCAAAAAACAATGATGACAGCTTATGTTGGAGAGGATGTAGAGTAAGGAGAACACTCCTCCACTGCTGGTGGGAGTGAGAACTTGTACAGCAAATTTGGAAATCAATATGGCAGTTTCTTAGAAAAATTACTGGCTGAAACAACAGTATATTCAGATGAAGCTGCTGTGCTACCAGAAAAAAAAAAAAAAACAGAAGTAAAAGATCCTATTAATAAAACATTTCCAAAATACATATTACATATTTGATGCAGATGGTGAAAGAGAAACAAGAACTTTATTTTAAAATATTTAATACATTAATAGTGCAAAATAGTGAGTTTACTAAGACATTGTCATATATATCATATTACTTATTTTTCAAAGTAAAACCTGAAAAGGGATTCTTTCTAGACTTTTAATTATGATATGACTAGCTTCATTATAATGCATAGAAATTTTAAGTTTAAGTAGTTACATTTAGAGCAAGGCAATTAAAATAATACTCTTGGCATTTTGAAAATAAAGTAGAAGGGATGTAGTTTGAAAACAAGCAGTTTTGAGGAGAACAATTTTCAGGATACATAAGAACCGAACACATGGGGAAAAATTATTAATAAGGCCACTCAAAGACAGAATGGGGATGAATGAAGCAGTACATGACCTACAGCTGGGTAAGGAAGGCAGACACAAGTTTTACTGTTAAAGTAAAAGAGTGGACTGACTTTCCTTACAGGGAAGGAGAAGGAAAGAAGACAGGTAAAGACAGAGACACTCTAAGAGGATTTGGTTTCCATTTCCACACTTAAATAAGAGAAACATTGCTTAATGTTTTAGGGCTTAGAGAGAGCAAATACTGTGGAATGAACCTAGGAAAGAAGCCAAACAAAGTATTTTTAACCATATGATAAAGCTGACATCAGTATTTTAACATTTTCCCTTGTGCTTATGTTATTCAGGTAACCAAAGTGTTGAAAGACTGAAACACCATAAGGACACTGTCTTAGAAATGGAAATTTAGATTAAAAAAAAAAAAACACGACATCAATTCAGCTGAGATACAACAGACCTGTAGTTAAACTGAAAATTTATTAACTTACTAAGTAATTTTAAGCAAATCATTTTAGCTTTCTTCTCAGCTTCCGTATCAACCAAGAGAGCATATACTGCCATGTAAGTTACAGGGTAGTTTCAAAAAGAAACTGTGAAATCTGTAATACGTTTTTATAAATTGAAAGGGAAATCATATCTTGTAAATTAATGGTACCTTTGAAGTAAACCAGAAAACAAAATATCAATCAAATGCCAGAAGTCTTCCTTTCCCACCAAAGAAATGGAGCTTTATCATGAATCTACATGAAGCTCTTTCAATGCATTTTTAAAGGTATACTTGATATTTCATTAAACATGGTAGTTTAACTTTTTTCAAATGGCTTTACTTAGTCAAAAATGAAATATAAATATATTCATCATACAAAACCCATGAAAAATTCTTGGTGGGCTGCATTCAAGGACACATTTTGGATTTTTTTAAAAGTAAAGATATAAGTCTGCTTCATTAGATAGGAAAATGTCATCATTTGAATGTAATAATAGAATACATTTACAAACCTGACAAAAATGAAAACAAAATCATAAACTTTTTCATTGTCATTAGATTTATCCATTCAAGCAAGAAAATATCAATCAGATGAAGTCAGAAAAAGTGAATGAAAAGAACAGTAACTGAAAGCATTCCTCTGTTCTAACATGAAGGAACACATTCATAACAGTTTTTAATTGGAAAAAAATTAGACAAAAAAAGTCACAATTAGAATTCCTTCTACTTGCTTTCCAGTACTGATAATTAGGTTTCCTTAGTTTATTATCTCTTGCAAGTCTTTTGTGTCTAGTTGGTTTTTTAAAATTCCATAATACATAGAAACTGAAGTCATCAATTAGGAACTGTCCCGGTTAGTGAGTTTTTGTCCACTTGACACAAGCTTAAGTCATTTGGAAAGAGAGAACTTCGATTAAGGAAATGCTTCCATCAGATTACCCTGTACGCCCCTCTAACATTTCTCTTGCTTAATGATTGTTGTTTGAGAGCTCAGCTTACTGTGGGCAGTACCAACCCTGAGTAGGTGGTCCTAGGTTGTATAGAAAAGCAGGCTGAGCAAACCAATAAAATGCACTCCTTCGTGACAGTTCCTGGACTGCTTGAGTTTTCACCTTGGCTTCCCTCGTGATGGGCTATGATGTAGAAGTGGAGGAAAATAAACCCTTTTCTCTTCAAGTTGATTTGTTTGTTTTGTTTTTGTTTTTGTTTTTATCATATCAATAGAAAAGTAAACTAAGATAGAAATTTGTCCCAGGATCACAGAGTATTTCTGTGACAGACCTTCCTTGTCACTGTTTTGGGGGAAAGGTTGTGTAAGATTTTGGAACTTTGGGCCAGAAACACCATTGAGTGTTCAGAACTTAATGGGATATTATGGAAAGTTGGGAGATAGAACTGCTGAAAGTGTTGCAGATGATGGAGGTCTTGTAAAGTTTCAAGGAGAGGAAAGACTCTATTAGAGGTGTTTATGTGATATTTTGAATTAAGTACATGTGGTTCTGGGAAGCTGAGTTTGAATAATCAGTTGTTACTAATAGGAGAACAGCACCACAGAATGAAACTTTTGCTTTATTGGGATAATTGATGATGTTCAGCTAGTTTTGGAAAATCTGCTGTGAGTAAGAGGAGATGAGCATTATGTAGGTGAAATCTTCTGGGGGTATTTCCTATGGTTCAGCAAACAGAAGTTGTGCTCCAGGAGGGCCAGTGCTAACTTCCCTTTCTGGCAACTGAACTTGGTAATGTGTAAGAGTCCCCCAGGTGGTTCTGGTTTTGAAGGTATAAAGACAACATGGAGATCAGCTGGGTATTGGCACTGTGAGAAGCCAGGGATGAAGGCGCAGCCTCATTTGCAATGGAGACTGCAGGGTTTAAGTGGTCATGGAAAAAAGACTGAGGCTTGACATCATATGGAAAGGTCAGAGTCTCTAAAGAAAAACCCAGAGGTCATTGGTGAATATGCAGCCTATGGAGACTGAAGAATATTCAAGATTCCATGACTATAGGACAACAGCCAAGGATAGCAAGAGCTGTGGAGTAGAGCCAGCTGGAACCCATGAGGCAGGCACCATGTTCGTTACAGATGGCAGAAACAGGGGCTGCCCAGGCCCCTTAGAGGCCAGAAGATTGTGAGTAGGTCCCAGACATCAAGCACTGAACATTTTACACTGTTGAATATTGCAGGGAACCATGGAGTTGGCCTAGCCTAGCTGCCTAGAGAGGCATGTGTCATGGGTCTTTTGGTTAGAGGGACTTCTAGTTCCGGAGAGCCTGATGAACTCCTTCAGGCAGTGAAATGTTCAAACCACTCTGTGTTTCTCTGTATGATCCCTTAGTAGTCAAGGAAGCATGGAAGCTTGACAGGAAAATTGGTCTTAGACATTAATCTTGTGTACCCTGTACATCTTGCAAACTTCATTGCATCCTGGCAGCTACAACTGTATTGATCCTGGCAATTGCCATCATGTTCTGTTTCTGATAAACATAAAAACTCTTATTGCTCTTAATAAAATTGCTGCAACTTATGTTTTGCTGTGGACCCTCCAACCAGCCTGGTTTCATTTCTCGTGGCCATATCAGATGATCTTGGCCCGGTAAGTAACCACAGGCACTTACAGAATTTGCTTTTGCTTTGAATTGATTGTGACTGTGTCCTGCTTCTTCCCTCTTGGAGTAAGAAAGTCATAGGGAGACTTTAGATTTTTAAGTGACACTGGGTATTTAAAGAGAACTTGGACTTTTAAGAAATATAATTTTAAATTACAACTTTTAAAGTTATTTGTGTTTTATGTTGTGACATTGGTATTAATAGATTTGGAGGAACAAACAAGAAGGGAAATCTTATAGTTTAATTGTGTCTTGCTTTATGTTCTACTGCTATGAAGAGACACCATGACCAAGGCAACACTTATGGAAGAAAGCATTTGGTTTGGGGTTTGCTCACAGTTTTGGAGAGTTAGTCCATGATCGTCATGGAGGGCCAGCATAGTACTGGGGCAGTGGCTGAGAGATTTACACCTTGATCTGCAGGCAGCAGGCAGAGACACAGGGATTGAAGTAAGCTTTTGAAACCTCGAGTCCCACACCTCCTCTAACAAGGCCAAACTTCCTATGGCTTCCCAAACAGTTCCACTAACTGGGGACCAGCAATTCAAGCATGTGAGCCTACAGGAGCTGTTCTCACTCAAACCACCACAAGTAGTAATGCTTGGGTATATGAAGCTGACAAGAGATCAGTTTCCCTGATTAGTTGTTTGTCAGCTTGAAACAAGCAGGAGTAATTTGGAAAGAGGGAAATTTTCATATTGGCCTATAGGCAACTCTATGGGACATTTTCTTGATTAATGACTGATGCAGTAGGGCCCAACTCACTGTGGATGGGCACATGGGAACATTTTTTTATATACCCCCAGGGTATATAAAAAATCAGGCTTAGCCAGGCATGGTAGTAAACCATTAAGCCACATTTCCTGCCTCAGTTCCCGTCTCTAGATTCTTGGCCTGCTTGACTACATACCTCAGCTTCCCTCAGCGTTGGACTATAATCTGGAAGTGTAAGCCAAAAAAAACCCTTTCCTCCCAAAGTTGCTTTTGGTGCTGATGTTTTATCACAATAGAAAAGCAAACTAAAACAAACCATTCAAACTGTATCCTAACCTGTGGTTCAGGAACAGGAGTGATGAAACATACCTGCTCATTTCAAAGGTCACTGATTTCACAGAGTGAAATATTTTAGTCTCAGATGTGATGATCAGAAACTGTCTCCTCAGGCACCTGTTCTCCTTCACTTTGTTTCACAGATGGCTATTCAAAGAGCTCGATATGGATTGTACACTTCCATTTTCCCTATTCTAAAAGGGGAAATATCGTAACAGTCATGTACTATGGGAAAGATAGCTATGTTTGCAGGAGTAAGTACTGCCTAATGCCCAGAGTAATAAATGTGGGATTTCAGTCTTGACCTAAGCTTTCAAAAATCTTAAGGATGCAAAATATTACAAAGCAATATTAAAAATCAGCTTTAATTTAAAGGAGATAGACTATTCCCAGTGAATTTTCAAAATAAAATTATTGCTTTTTAAAATAACAAGCATACAAATTACCAATTTAAGTAGTACACATCGTAATTATTTCTACTTTATTTTAATTTTTGTATTTGTAGTTTTCAGAGATGGAGTATGAAGCCCAGGTTATTCTTAATCTTTCTGTGGTTTTCTTGACTTGGCCTTCAAACAGCTGGTATATCACACCTATGTCTGAAAAAAAGAATAGATGGAAATATTGACAAATCAATACCTTTACTCAGATTTTTAGAGTCACAAAATATCCATTGAGATGAGACCCCAAAGTTCTTACTATTGTCTCCTGCTTAAATAACATTGAACATTCGTAATATATTTCTTAGTTTTTAATCTTTGAAATCAGCTGGCTAAGATAGTTATCTGCCACAGCATTCCTTACAATTTTATAATTAATAAGAACTTAAATTTAGCTTTCTCTTGAAGAATAAATTATAAATTAAAACTAATCTCTATGACTGTGGTGGTTTAAATGAGAATGGCTCCACAGGCTCATATATTTGAATGCTTGCTTCCCAGTTTGTGGAACTGTTTGGAAAGGATTAAAAAGTATGCCCCTGGTGGAGGAAGTGTGTCACTGAGGGTGGGCTTTGAGGTTTAAAAAGCCCACACTGGGTCCAGTCTTGTTCTCTCTCTTTCTGCCTATAATATACAGAGCAGAAGTAAGCTCTCAGCTACTACACCAGTGCTGTGTATATCTGTCTGCCACTGTGCTCCCCACAATGATAGTCATGGGTTAGAACTCTCAAAATATTAAGCAAGTTCCCAATTAAATGCTTTATTTATAAGTTATTTTGACAGGAAATGCAGCTTAATGGTTTACTACCATGCCAGGCTAAGCCTGCTTATGCTGTCTCTTCAAAGCAACAGAACAGTAATATGACAATGACAATCTTGCTTTTTATCTTTGAAATTAAATCAATATAATCCTATATACATCTTAGTACTATGCATTTGTAGATATTTATACCTAATCTCTGAATTTGTTTTTATTGTTTTTGTCTTTTTGTTTTAGTGTCTCATGTATGCCAAACTGGTTTGGAACTCCACTACTCAATTATGCAGCCAAGGAGGAACGTCAAAGTTTGGCTCTGTGAGATAAATAAATCTTTTAAGCAGAGCTTTGCAGAACTTCTGCTATGAGTGTGGAAGACTAGAATACTGCTGCTATACAAACAGAGGTAAAGACTGTGCTCCTGAGGTCAGAGTGAAATGGGCTGTTTGTTTTTCTTTCTGGAAACATTGTCTGGCTGCATTCTCCCCGTGTCTTGAAGATTCCAATGAAGCTGAACTCAAAAGTAAGGGACCAAACGGCTTGGCATAATATGGTTAAAGAGAGGAGCATATGCTGAGATTATGACATAGTTATTGCTCCCCAGATTTACTGAGGCTTATAATAAGAATTTGAGGAAGGAAGGATATTACAACTGTGCACTTTGATAAGGAAAGGAGTGTGAACAGATTAAAATTGCTGATTGTGCCTTTGCCAACAAGCTACAGTTTTCCTTAGTTTATTAGTTTATATCCATTGTGCATAATATTGCATGTTATAATGCTATTTTCATGAAAGTATATCACGTACCTTGACCACGTATACCTCCCTTCCAAATAGTCCCCTCTTCCTCCTCCTATTCCTATTTACACCCCACACTCTGACACTTTGCTTCACTAGGGCAGGTGATTATAGGAACAGCCCAGCTACACAGGACAAGACCCCTTAGAAAAATATGTCTACCCTTTCCTAATATCAGCACCTCCCTTCCTGTGAGTGATTTGGAGTTAGACACTTTCTGGACAAAGAAGTATGAGCAAGACTCACTTGAAACATTGCATTGTACGGAGTGCAAGATCAGTAAAGCTAAGACTGTCCTTGAGGTAACCTGTCAGGGAAAAAGCAAACAAACCATTCACTATCTCATGTGTATTTATGAGAGGATATGCATTTACTTGAAATTATGTCATGTATTGCTTATGCATATGAAGTTCACCCAATGTTACATACCAGTCCATCTATCAACTAGGATAATGATGTATAGATTAGGTATAATTCAGAGATTAGGTACCCCATTGCCATTCTGCAGGAAGTACCTCCTCCCTCTTCCTAAACTCATGAAAAGATCTCAGCAAAGAAATTGGGACTCTTGATTTCAGTGCTTGCTAAAGTCCAATCCCATTCAGTGGAGTATATGCTAGTTTCACTCTCCTTTTTAATCAGTCTATACTTTCAGTACTATGACTCCATGTCTTGTCTAATATATAGTTCAAGACACAACCTGAACATCATGCCATAAGCCATTTCAGAATTCTCTCTGGTAATACTTTCACATCATATACATAATTTAGGATCCATATATGAGAGTATATGTGAGATTTGTCTTCCTAAGTTTTTTTTCTCTTAATATGCTGACCTGAAGTTATATCCAACTTCCCACAAACAAAATAATTTCATTCTTCATGAAAGATTAAAATGCCATTGTGTACACTTATATTTTCTCTATCCATTCATCTGTTGATGAGCATTCAGCCTGATCCTATAATTTAGCTTTTAGAACAAGTGTTGCATTAAATAAAGATGGGTGAGTATCTCTGTGGTATGTTGACATGGAGTCCTCTAAGTACCATAGCCATGTCATATAGTAGTTCAAGTTTTAGTGTTTTGAGAATCTTCACAATGATGTTCAGGGTGGTTTTAATAGTATGAATTTACATCACCTTGTTGTGTGGTGTTTTTATCCTTTCCCATTCTCACCAGTGTTTGTTGTCATTTGCTTTCTTACTATTAGCTTTTGTTACACATAAAACTGTGAGAATGAAGCCTAGTTTGCAATGGAATCCTCAGAATGCAGGGGGTGCTAGAAGGAATTCACCAAAGATAGTTGGTGTGAGTCAACTAAGTGGAGTTGGCTCAAGAAATAGGCTATAGGTGTACAAGAAAAAAGGAGCTAGATGGGTAGCAGGTCTCAGCCATTAGAAACAAATGATGCCACCATAAGCACCAAGAGCTAGAGGCTTTGGTATTTGCCCTGATAAGTTGTAGTCATTTGTCTCATCTTTCATTGCTATATTCCCATTCATCTCTTTTAAAATGTAAAAGGTCTCAGTATTAAATATTTGGCTTGAGTCTTAGAAGCTTTGAACTCTTGAATAATAATAGAACTGTTAAGACCTTGGGATTCTTGGAGATGGACAAAATATGTTTTATATTATGACATGGACATGAATGTTTGAGAACCAAGGATGGTGTACTCTGCTGTTTAAATGATGTGTTAGGTTAATAATAGGTGAACTTGTGATAGCTAATCATCTTTGTCAGGCTGACAGGCTTTGGAGTCACCTAGGAGACACACTAGTTGATACACCATTCAAGGAGTTTCAGAGAAGTTTAAATGATAAAAGAAGCTCTACCCCGGATGTATGTAGTACCCTCTAATAGACTGAGTCCCAACTAAATAACAAAAACAGAGAAAAAAACTGAATGGGGGTCAGCATCACTCTCATCTGTCACTGCTACCTGGTCTGTCAAGTTGTGAGGGGTCCTGCTTACAATCTTCATTGCTATGACGTTCTCTATACTGGACAGATCTTTTCTCTCTCCCACCTGATAAACTTTTGTCTATACAGAAGTCCCCTGTTGCACCCCAGGATTTCATGGACTAGAGTGTCTGACTCCTTCCCCAATTCCTTCATTTATCATGTGCTGATTCTTTTAAAATGAGTTCATCTCCAAAGACTGTAAGGTCAGACCCCAGTCAGTTGGGAAGATGCAATCATCACCTGCTTTAGAATAAAGCCCATGTGAACTTCCTTCCCTGGTGGGCTTGTGACCTCAATTTGAGTTTCAGAACACACGTTTACAAAGAGAAATTGCCTTGCCTCGGTACTTTCGCTTCTTCTTATGTTCCTTTGTGCAACACTGAGATTGTTTTTTGTTACCAACAATGCCTTTCCTTCCGAGATGCATTGTACGCTTTAAAATCATAAATGGGTGGCAAAGAGGTGGCCCAGCAGGAAAGGTACTTTCTAGCAAGCCTGACAACAAGATTAACCCTTAGGAGCCAAGTGGAAGGAGAGAATCAGATCCCATAAGTTGTTCTCTAGCCCCTACATGAACACTGTGGAATATGCAAGTCCCTACCCCATGCACATATACACTAAATAAATAAAATATAATAATTAAAAATAATTTCTTTTCCCCTTAAATTGACTCAATCAAGGATTTGTAACAGCAATGAGGAACATAACCAATACAGTACTATATATCTAAACATCTTCTATGCATATTGGGTTGGTTAATTATCAACAAGATAAAATCTTCTGGTTGACTGCCATCTTTGGCTTAAAATACCTGATAAATTAGTCATTTTGCATGTCTGTGTGTGTGTGTGTCTGTGTGTCTGTGTGTGTGTGTGTCTGTGTGCCTCTGTGTGTGTGTGTGTGTGTGTGCGTGTGTGTGTGTGCCTGTGTGCCTCTGTGAGTGTGTGTGTGTGCCTGTGTGTGTCTGTGTGTGTGTGCCTGTGTGCCTCTGTGTGTGTGTGTGTGTCTGTGTGTGCCTGTGTGTGTGTGCCTGTGTGCCTGTGTGCGTGTGTGTGTGTGTGTGTGTGTGTGTGTGTGTGTGCCTGTGTGCGTATGTGCCTGTGTGTGTGTGTGTGTGTCTGTGTGTGTGTGTGTGTGTGTGTGTCTGTGTGTGTTGGGGGCATGCATATACCACAAAACACAGGTGAGTTGAGAAGCCACAGTGGGTTCTGGGGCTTTGATCTCAGACCACCAGGGTTGGTGACAAACTCTCTGACCCCCTGAGCTCTCTCACTGACTCGTTTAGTTATTTTAAAGATTTTTCATTTTTCTTTTCAGTATTGATGTATCATAATTTTTGATATGTGTATATTATATTGTTTGGATTTTTAGTTTGGAGGGGTTGGATTTTTAGAAAACTATATGTTATCACAACATCTCTGATGTTAGTGCAATTGCTGACCCGTTGTGGGGTCGTTCTCTTACACTTTCATGGCTAACACAGTGGATATCCCTATTAATGGACATTATTTCTATATGCTATTCATAGTTTTGTTTATATGAGTACAGGACTTTAGCAAATACAATTTCTACATTTTTCAGAATGGAACTTGGTTTCTTTAATCTTACATCACAAGATCTTCAATAATGGGAGAAATATATAAAATTACATACTGAATCATGTCTTAACACAGCAAGCTATATTTGGTAATCTCTATATTGTTTGCCTTTGAATATAAATAAGAGAAAATTTAATATGTTTTAATATCTTAAGATAATTTAGTACTTTTGGTTTTTATGTTTTAAAATTGTAAGATTTTTCCATAAGTAAAATTGGTTTATTTTTACTAATATTTACTACAATTTGAAAGTTGATATTGTCCAGAAAATAGCAACAAATTCTAGGGAGACCTTCATCGAAGGTAATTAGTGACAATTTTGCCATCATTTCCATAATAATTTGTTTGCATTTGTTTCATTTTGAGTCATATTTTATCTTTAGATTTTGTCTTTATATGCAAATGAAATGATATAGTATTTGTCGTTACCTGGCTAACATCAGTTAGCATAGTGCTGGCCAGGTTCCTTCATGCTGCAATAACGGACTGGATTACCTTTGCTTTAGATACTGTCCTTAATTGTCGCAGCCAGAAAGGTGTGATGTTCTACTTATATTTACAAAGCCAGGCCTTCTCAACTTTTAATAACTTGTTCCCTTTTCTTCATTAAGCTTACTAGAAATCCATTTCATCTTTCAAATAACTATTTTATTGTTTAGACTGTGTCATTGCATTTTGTTCACTTTGCCTAATCAGATAACATAAGGAGGTGAAGGACCTCTCAAATAACCCTTTAAGTATATATATATATATATATATATATATATATATATATATATATATATATATATCTCCATTTTTTTAATTTAGGCATCCTAATTATCACAGCCATCAACTGTGTCATATCTATTTCATTGACACAGTTCAGCCATTTATACTGTGCTGGACAAAGAGTAGGTTTGTTTTAGGCATGTTACCAATTGGTCATGTATGTGTACTTTTCACTTTCTGAATCTGGGTTCTTTTTGATATTGTCTACACACGGGCTGTAACTGCCCCTAAATTCATGGGTAATTGCAGATTTTCTTTCCTATACAGTTATTATTTCATTGACAATCTGGGAGCTTGAGAATTAAACTTCCAGAGGAATGCTACTCCTTCCCTGTAGAGTTCTGCTTGTTGTAAGTCTTGACTGTTATGTGAGAAAACTTCATGGAAGCAGACATCAATGTATCCCACTCTCAGAGCCAGGGGCTTTTGATCCTCTTTGTAATAAAATGAATTAAAACCTTATGTATTAACTTTTAGAAGAATATTAATGTCTAGAAACAAGCAAGATGTTACATATTAATATAAATTCATTTCATTACAACTTAAAAGAAAATTTTATACCTTTTTAAAATGACATTCATATGAATTTTAAAGCAAAATTTTATCAAATATGCTAACTAAAGAAGCCAATGATATGTTGGTTATAATCATATTTTTTACTTTATGTTAAAAAATTTGTCTTTGCTTCTTTACATGAACTTATTTTCTCACTGTCATTAAGAAGTATTTTTTAGTTTTCAATATTTATTATTGATTTATATTTAGAATGCATACACTGTAAAGCTGTAAATGCAAATTATTTTCAGTTTATAATACAAATCTCTTTCTGCTTCTTCTAGTTAAATTATCCTAATGAATTACAGTTAAAGATTTTTTTTAAACCAGAATAGGCAAATTGGAGCGCTGATAATTATATATGCCATAGTACCAATTATGTACCCAATAAGAGGAGGCCTGTTTTTTCACTTGTCACCAGTGAAAAACTGGCCATTTGCTTACAGTATTACAGACTGCATGGAAGCTTAAAACCAAAACTAGCGTCTGACTGCACGGTTCAAACCTTTCTGCTTCTCCATTATCCACAAATGATGCTACCTCTGTAACATACCTTTGCATTAAGAGATGACCTCCAGACTTTTACCTTTGTGTTACGATTCCAAATGAGACAGGGCAGTGGATAACAAGGGTATTCTGAAAGCCACTCCTACAAAAAAAGTTTGTCAATCATTTTTTAAAATCTGCTATATAGGCATAGTATGACACCAATATAATAAATCTAATGATCTATTGCTATATTCATAGATTAGCGCATCTATCAATCCTTATCAGAGAAGCATTTTTTTGTTAAATATGTCCAGTAATGGAGAAGAAAGAGAGACTGCAGTGTGCAAAGCTGTAAACAGGACATCTATACCACAAACCCCTCCTCCAGCCATGTAAAAGGGGACAGAAAGACTATGAAAGCCAGAGGCAGTGGTTAACTACAAGGAAATGGTTTTCTGGACACAGCAGGGCATTTGCACTTATGAATTCATAGCCAGTTGAGAGAGCATGCACAAGCTCAGCCAGACCAAACCCCAGGATGAAGAGGGGAAGTTGGCACAAAGTCTCACCCCTGACTGAGGAGATACTGGGAAGTTTTAGGTAGAATCCATCTTTTTAAAGGTATGGCTCCTACCACATTGGTCACCTTCTAGAAAAGGCCACACAACCAAGAGTATATGAGTAGCACAAACTATACTTGATGGCTTTATTTTTTTAAGGATTTTTTTTTCATACAATATATTCTGAACATGGTCTCCCATTCCCTAACCCCTCCCAGAACTTCCTGACCTCCCAACCCACCCAATTCAATGCCTTTCATTTCTTTAGAAAACAAAGAAAAAAAAGTCAGAATTTTTTGAGAGAGCTCTCAAAAACAAAACCCTTAAAAAACACAAAATTAAAAAAAAAAACATAATATACAAAAACGGCCAATAAGACAAAAATGCCCAAACAAAATCATATAAGACAAAAAGTCTATAAAAATATCACTGAGTTCATTTTTGTATTGGCTGTCTCTTGCTGGGCATAGAGCTTACTCTAAAGTGTGATTAATATACCCAGTGAAACTCCATTGGAAAAAGCTAGTTTTTTTTGCACATGGTTGTCAATTAGAGATGGCTTCTTGGTTAAGGATGGAAGCTCATCTCCACTTCCCATTCTCAGTGTTGGGATGCCATATGACTTGGACCTGTGCAGGTTCTGTGCATGCCGTCAGAGTCTGTGATGTGAGTTCAAATGTGTGTCAGTCCTGTTGTGCCTGGAAAAGAAAATTTCCTTGGTATCACCCATCCACTTTGGCTCTTACAGGCTTTCTATCTCCTCTTCTTCAAAGCTCCCTGAACCCTGAGGAGGTTTAATAAAATCATTACATTTAGGACTGAGAGTTCCATAGTCTCTCATTCTATGTACACTGTCCAGTTGTGGGTCTCTGTATTAGTTCTGATCTAATGGCAGAGGAAGCTTCTCTGATGCTGATGGAGCTAGATACCTGTCTATGGGTATAACAAAATGTCATTAGGTATCATTCTATCAATATATTCCTTTAGAAAAACATTTTAAAATGAGAGAAAGAATGAATACAAATTTGGATGAGTTAAGAAGGGTGGATGGATGTAGAGGGAGGGGTGGACATGACCAAAATATACTGTGCAGTATTCTCAAGAAACCAATAAAATGAGAACAAAATTATGGGAAAATAAAAATAAAATTTAGGGAGGAGGGGGGAATCTGTGGATAGTATGTGCAGTGAGTAGAAAATTTCTTAATAAAGAAAAATTAAAAAAATAAAAACAAGATGAAAAAAGCCAAAAAAATGTAAAAGCACCACATTTTATAGCTAATAAACATTCAGAGTTACTGAACTTGCTGCCCTTCTATCAAGCAAATTTTAAATGTTATTGTATCTATAAGTCACGTTGTAAAAACTAGTCTCTCTGTGTAGTTTTGTCATGGGATAACATAATACTCTAGACAGTGTTGTTTAAATTACAGCCTTGAAATAACTTCTTCAAATCCTATTCACAATGCTACTTTATGATGACATGTTTGTTTCTTATCAGCATTTTCATGGCACCTGCAGTGAAAGTGTAAAATAAAATTTCTATAGAAATAAATGACTAATTTTTCCAAGCTATACCTGGAGACTTCTTTGAAAATATAATGATAGGCCAGTCATAATGCTTCAGGCAATTTGTCTTAATCTTTTTTGTTTTTTACTATTGTCAGGATAGCCAAAAGCAATGTTTGCAAAGTTATAATTACAAATTTCCAGATCTGCAAATGTAAAATACTGTATGAAATCCAAACTTATATGTAGTTTGATAGCAATCTAGTCAGATTCAGCATAGTTGAATTTGTGCACGCATGAGAGGTACATAGAATGTTTAAGAGATGGGCACAGGGAAAGGAGTGGCATGCTAGATTGGACTCGTGTCTTGAAGCAGATAAACATAATAGGGCTTGAGTGCATCTAAATGGACACTAGTCTGACTTTCATCACAGAAATGGAAGTATTAAGATGTCTGTTCTTGTAACTGATACAAAGGGCTATTTGAACTTCTTAATAAACATGTGATCTTGCTATAAAAGTTAGTAAGTTCTTTAATGCTGTTGATCAATATCTTTAAAACAGTTGGAAACTTAGGTATGGCAAACATGTAGTATAAGATTGATTTTGACCACAGAAATCTATATATCAAGCAGGTTCATTGGAAGCAAATGATAAAATGGATATCACTGTAGAAAGGGAGCCCTCAGAACATGTGCTATCAGCCAAGATGATATACATTATAAGAGACAACTGAGACGGGAAGCTATGGACAGATAATCAATTTTTTCTGTTGGTGTACAATGACTCCTGTGTCTCTCCTTAATACACTGTCAAATAAGCAATGAATGTTTGTTAGTCCCTGAATTTTTTTTACCAGTAGTACTATTGCAAGAATCATCAATAATTGCCTTTTTAACAGCCTAAGGTATGGCAGTCTAACCAGTAAGTCAGCTATTTCTGCCATAAGCATTAATCATTAATAAAGTGTATTAATATGATGGCTTTTGTAAGCCACAATATCTTTCATTTCTATTTTTAAAAAGGTAATTCACCTTTCTGACCTAATTCTTAAGTCAGAATGTTTAGTATTTTGTAATTAGGCCAAGTGCAAAATTTCTCTGAAGCATAAATATCTAGTCAGGATCTTTAAAATTTGTCTTTCCACTAGAGGCCAGTATAGTCCTCAGGACAATTTTCTCCCTCTCTCTCATATATATATATATATATATAGATAGATAGATAGATAGATAGATAGATAGATAGATAGATAGATAGATATAAAGTACCGGTAAGCCACGAGCCACGTGGCAAAGTAAAGATTAATAGAAATGGGCTAAATATAAGAGTAAGAGCTAGACAATGATAGGCCTGAGCTAATGGCCAAGCAATTTAAATAATGTAAGAGTCTATGTGTTTATTTTATAAGTGGGCTCTGAGACTGGCGGGACTTGGCAGCGGGAGCTAGAGAGAAATTCTCCAGCAACAGATAACTGATTGAAGAACTGAAAACACGATAATAATGTCTCCAATTAAAGAAGCTGTAAATTTTTATTTTGAATTTTATTGAACTATGCTCCACCAAATTCATAAATATGAGAGATGCTAACAAAGAAAACCACTGCTTTCCTTTAATTTAAAATATGTAAAGGAAATTTATTTCACATAATTGAGGAAAGATCATTCAGATTAATAGAGATGATACTTACCAGCTCCTAAAGTCTCCCTTGTTACATAACCCCCATTCTCACTGATCTTATTTAGACTCAAGCATCATAGAAAACATAGTTATTTGAAGAATTTGTTTTTACCATGAAACTTTATACCAAGCACTGCTACTAGTTTCCAATTAGACTATTTCACCACCTAAAATCTGCAGGAAGGCTCCAGCCACTGATACAGAATGAAGAGACCTGAAATTTTTTCTTTGTCACAACCTCAATGACCTATATCAAGATGCTCACTGCCTTTTTCCTAGACTAAAAATTAAATCCCAAATTGCAGAAATCCTACTTGTTTTCTAGTGAAAAGAAAGCAAACAAGTATTTTAATCTAAAGGCTATGGTAACATAATGAGCATAGTGTTGAGGGATCTTTGCCAAGAAAGGTTATTTAACCATCTGCTAGAAACTTTGTACGGCATTGAATGCTTTATGCTCTCCAAGTGTCTAAATTGATATCTGAAAAAAAATTCAAGAATTTTAATGAAAAGGCTATCCTTGACCAAACATTGTAAGGGTAATACATATGAAAAAAATACCCAAAATAGGAAAGATGTAGAGATACATAATTTTCAAAATGAATGGTTAGTTGGCCTTCCTGACAAAGAGTAATTGTTGCCACTCATTGATTGTCTCAATGTACAAACAGCATATTGTTACACACCCAGGTTTCCCACTAAAGCAAGACAACTGTGAGTTTAAACTGCTTGACATTGCACTCAGTGGACCCCTGGTCCTGAATAAACAGCTGGTATACAATCAACTGTTTATGAAAAGGAAAAGAAATAGTCTTTAGACAGTTAACTCTGAGACATCCAATTCTCTATTCCCCTAGGTGGGAAGAAGCAACCTTCCACGGGGTGACACAGTATAGTAAATGCCTCACCTCACCACACCTGTTTCCCAGCTGACAATGGGGCACAACAACATTTCAGAGTGGGGGAAATTACCTACATTCCAGAGCACTGCTGAAATGAATTGTAATGACCTCATAATTTTAACTACCTACCTTCAACAACTTATTTTACAGTTCTCTAGCAGGGTCTTGAAGTGAGTTGAGAGTTAAATTTTACCCATACACTTAAATCAGACCCGGGGCTTAATAACAGTTTTTCTTTTTTCTTCTAAACTACTCTTTTTCTTCTCCATCTTTCTGAATATTGTATATCAATGCACAACTTTTTTTATTGAGAGGAAATATTGATGTTTTAGAGTGAGATATTGAAATACTGCATTTGTTTTATTGATGATTCTGCAGCAGTTAATGTTCAAGAGCTAAACCCTACAGAATTTCCTTGATGAGGCCAAAAATTAGGAGTGAATTGAACAGAGGAGTGAGACAGTAAATGCTAATTAATTAATATTATTTTCTCTAATATTCTCTGCATAAAA